CTGATAGGGTCAATTATAACAGTTAAATTAAGTTACGAAAGACGAGGCTTGGGCGCTCTTAGTACTGTAGTGGTCAGATTTCGGTGAGGTTAAATGAACTGTGTAAAACGTGGTAAACCATCCTGTATAGTGCACATAGAGTGTAGTACACAGAGTATAGTACACATACAGTACAGTACACGTACAGTACAGTATACATACAGTAGAGTACACCTACAGTACAGTACTTCTCAAACTGATCATCACCAGACACAGCACCTGGTGGTCAAGGACACCTAACACAAGATATTCTTAAACTGTTCATAACGTCACAACTATGCACCATTTTTTCTTGATTTGGATTTCATTGTTACGAAGCTTTAGACATGACCACACCAGCTGGCGCACACTACTGTCAACAGAGGCACTCCTGAGGACAGTGTGGCGCTGGTGCACAAGACCATTTTACCTATTGACCAGACTCCAGACACATGGGCACAATAATGGTCTCATCAGGGGTGACGGAGTGGCTGTTGGTCTCACTGAGAACCCTTCACCACTACACCGGTGACTGGACCCCAGACACCAAGACTTATACTGCACCAGAGTTAGACACAGCCACTGACCTAAAATACAACACAAACTCACCAAACACCTATGATGCATCACACACTGGTTAAATACAATTAATTTTACAAGTCAAACCACTGTCACTGTTTTGGAGGAAATGGATAACACCCAACTTGGCGACGGTGAAGATATTGTGATTCTTAACACCAAAGAATTTATCAGTCACAAAATGACAAGAACATCGAGGAGTGTAGAAATACGAGGAAAAGAGACATTTGTGCATGAACGGCTCACTGATAAAACACAATAACGACAACAACACGACACACACACACTCACACTGGTTATGGCTTCTCAGATGACAATGAAGCATCGACTCCCACGAACGACTCTTCCTCCTCTTTAGGTTATTGTTGCCGCTCACACAACACATCGGAAACTCCAAGTCTTTTTTGCCCAAGAAAATCACCCAACCATTCTTTATTACACCTGGCCCATAGACGCCTTAATATGAGGACTGGAAAGGCTCAGTCTCGGGGTTTGAAACTTGGCTCCATTGTGTAACATGTGTGTGTATTTGTGTGTGTGTGTGTGTGTGTGTGTGTGTGTTTGATTATCAGCCTGAAACAGTGAAATACACCACACTGGCAACATATTAGTACAAAATGATGGATGTTAAAAATAAATACAATTCAATTCATTTATAAGATCAATATCGAGAACCCTTCAATGAGCTGCAGGAAAAGTGTAATATTATTTCCAGTTGTGGGTGGACATGGAGGACACAACAAGATGTAACATAGAAGCAGCACAATATATTTTTGAGAGCCATAATTAACTTACATCCTAACTGCTGGTATTTTTTTTTTCACAAGATCCCCTGAATTTTTTTTTATATTGAGGATGTTGAAGCGGCAGCCGAAGTACAGCAGTGGCATCAGCTGTTAAAATGTGACCTTGTAAACTGTGAATTTTCTGCAGGTCTTAAGCATGGACAGCCGGAAGTAGATTCTTGGGGAGTGTTTGTCATCAGAGTTTGTGACTGAGCTCGAGTGAGGTGGACCGAGTTTGGCAACACTGTGTACTGTTTGTTGTCCAGTGTCTCCAAGACTCATAAAAATATTGTCACAATTATTTGAAAAGATGTCTGTAATGTGTAGATGCTCCTCTATCAAGACATTAGGACCATGATAAACTTTGTTATGTATTATTCAAAGTTTTAGTGTTTAAACTAGAGACGTTTCTTTATAATATTGTCTATTGTCAGTCATATAAAGGACGTTTGGATTGTTTAACACAAGTTTTATTTTATGTATAAAACTATTTTATGAAAGGTGTTCCATTATAAGTGAGATATTTTTAAACTATTGTCAGTCATTTAAGAGACCCATAAAGGTTAGTCCGGACACAAGATTTATTGTTTTCCTTTATTTAGTTAAAAGTTAATTAATAAGAGATTAGAACCTAACAACAAATCTCAAACCGAGTGTAACTGTATTAACAACTCAAACTGTGAGACCGTGGATGGCCCATGGGCGAGCTCAACACTGGAACCATACCGAAACTTGTTGCCAGCCCTGCCGGATACCAATGCCAGCCCTGCCGGATACCAATGCCAGACCTGCCGGATACCAATGCCATTTTTTGGACCACAGGCATGCACAAACCTTTACAGTTGTCGACGACTGCATCCCAACCATTTGTTGCACGCCAACCTCCCAATGTTGCAAGGACTGACAATGTGTTTGACAGGTGCAGTACTTTGAAAAGCGTTTAAAAGGGAGAACCAATACACGAGGAGAGGAAAGGGGGAGGAGGAGGAGGCCAGAAAAAACAACACAACCAACAACGTTCTCGTGTAGACCAAAACAAGACACAACCGCTCGATCCCCCTGTTGAGGTCCTTACTGAAGAAGACAAGAAGGCCGCGGCAACTATAACTGTTATGTACAGTCCACCAGTGTCCCTCCTGCAGCCACCAGGAAACTCTCACGCCACCTATTGGGAGTACATGGGGCCTATTACGACTCACACTCAATGGACAAACAAGACCTCTGAACAATTGGGATTAACGAAAGAGATATTGTGTCACTCTTATTTACACCTAAGAGGAAAATAGTGACCGAGCTGTAGTACCGGTAGAGAGAGAGAGAGAGAGAGAGAGAGAGAGAGACTTTTTTTAATTTTCTGGCCTTGTTTCCTGTACACTATATCTTCCCATAATCATTACCGCCCCCGCACCCTCCACCCACTCACCTTTTCCACCCACTAACCTCTCCACCCACTGCCCATATATATCTCCATCCTTAGTCTCTCTCTCTCTCTCTCTCTCTCTGTCCACAGGCTGTCTCTCGCTCTATTTAGCTGTCCGTTAGTCTGTCTGTCTCTGTCTAGGTCCGTCTGTGTGTCTGTCACTCCCGCTGTCTGTCCCTGTCTTAGTAAATTGAGTAGGCTAGTCATTTAACGTTGTAATTGCTATTGTCCGGTAACTGAGGGTGGGTGGGTGGGTGCAGTGGTGGGTGTAGTGGGTGGGTGGGTATGTGGGTGTGGGTGGGTGGGTGTAGAGGTGGGTGTAGTGAGTGGGAGGGAAGACTTGCACCCTCCCCTCATTCCTTCCCCTCTCACTTCCTCCCATTTTTATTGTGTGTGTAGAGAAAGGAGGGAGAGGGAAGATTAGAGGTGGGGGAAGGAAGTTATAGTTCGGAAATTGAAGAAATTTAGGAGGAGGTAAGAGAGGGCGGGCTGGCCGCTAATAGTGTTAGGGTTGTGTCATGGGTTAGTTATTGTCTGTCGGTACGGGCACTAGACATCCTACCCTGTCCCATATATGGGTGTTTTAAGGGCCTTATTTCATATTCCGCCGACCCTACTGGCGGATGCTGGTCTAGGGAGGTTGTCTATTGCCTGGCCGTGTAGATCGGGGGGTGGTAATGGACCTTTTGAGATTTGGTAACTTTTTGGGAACTATGTATGGTTGTTGTCGTTATCTGGTGGGAGTCTTTGGAGGAGTTCTTGCTCTGATCGTTCTATCTTTTGCCATGTCGTTTCCCCTCACCCACACCTCTCTTGCCCCCTCTCACCCCCTCCCTAAGACCCCCTCCCCCCTACTATCTCGTTTTCTTTCACCACGCCCATATGCCTCCCCTCTCCCCCAAACCTCCCGTTTCCCCTCAGTGAGGGTCACCTCATTCCTTCCCATTTTCCCTCACCCCCTCCCCTCGGCTCCCCTCCCTTCGGCTTCCCTCACCCCCTCCCCTCGGCTCCCCTCCCTTCGGCCTCCCTCACCCTGTCCCCTCTCGTTTCCCCTTACCCCCTCCCCTCGGCCTCCCTTCACACTAAACTCCTTCATCTTGACCTACATTCCGACCGAGTCATCATCTTGAGGCATTGTCGACTGCCACTGGTACCTGGGTAGTGGCACTCCTATAACGTCACAGTGCCATTCACCCGTTTACATTGATACTCCATGACGTCACAAATGTTATTCCCTGATTGGCCCGTTGAAAGTAATACTCCATGACGTCACAAATGTTATTCCCTGATTGGCCTGTTGAAAGTGAAACTCCTATGACATCACAATGGCATTCCTTCCCTCAACACACTGACAGTGACCACACCTCTCATCACAGCCAATAAGAACGAAGCATTAAACTGACAACCAATCAAAACTATGTACCATACCTTACGATCAATAGTTAATTTCAAAAACAAAATATCATGGTACTCATAATCACAGAAACTTAATAACCGTGAATACAAAAAAATTTCGCCTTCTTTATCGCTGAGAAAAAGAAACAGCAATGAAAATTTTAAAAGAAATTCAATATCTTGATGCCTATTGGTGCTGAGGGAACTGTCCTTGACGTCTATTGGTGCTGAGGTGACTGTCGCCCCGCCCATGTATATATAATAACCAATCACAGCTTCTCGTGGCCGTGACGCCAGGTGAGGTGCCGTTACTATAAAATACAGTATATATGTGCGTGTTTTTCTTTAGTGTCCTCAAGGTGTCCTAAAGGTGTCCTGATTACAGATATTTAGTGATATTTTGGCGGTCATGGGACATCCTGGACAAGTTTCGCGCTCTGATATGTTATTCATTACGTAGTGCACTAAAAATCATACTTCATGACGTCACAGGTGTCACTCACTGATTGGCCGATATATAAAAACAATCAATAACGTCATAGGTGTCATTCACTGATTGGCCGATATATAAAAACAATCAATGACGTCATAGGTGTCATTCACTGATTGGCTGATAAATATAGACAATCTAGGATGTCACAAGCGTCATTCATTGATTGGCTGAAGAATACACACACACAGCTACTCATATAATAGACACTGCTGACTCCCTGAGATCCAGAGTTCCATGTGCCAAACTAGTGATATGCGGTGACTTTAATGAGTTACACATCAGCAACATCACCCAATACCTTCACCTTGCA